CACACACACACACACACACACACACACACACATGCACCTCATGTAAGAACTCATTTGTCCTGCAAAAAAAGAGTTATACTGTATGTATTTTTCTAGTAATTTGATAGATTAAAACTGTGAAGAACTTTTAAATCATTTATACGTTGGTAAAGGGTGATTAGTCTAAAACCACAGCGTTCCAAACTTAGGATATTTCTGAATTTTAATTTAATTTTAAAACTTGGAAACCTCACCAGACTTTTGAATTAAATGTTTGTTTTATAGCTGCAGTGCAGATTCTTTATTAAACTCGTCAATCAAAGCATTTGCCAAGAGATTATTGCAGCTTTGCAAAACAAAAGTGTTGGCTGAGTGATGTAAATGATCAAGTATTGATGAATATTTGAACTAGAAATGTTACATTTTGTGACATTTGTATTGTAACTTGAACTTTTTCCTCAGTTTGCCCTCTTTAAGAATGACTTAATGCTTTCTACTTGAAATCTCTTTTTACAAAACTTGGAAAAATCAATAAACTGAAGGACAATGAATGCATCACTCTCTCAGGCATTTGATGCCTTTTTTTAAGGACACAACTTGTAGATACTCTGCTGAATTGTTTGTCCTGCCATTTTTCCTTTATGTTCTCAACTTGTCTAGTTTTTTTTTTTTTTTAATTTACAATTGTCTTAGAGCAAACTGCACACCATGTCAGAACACACCAAGTGTTTGATTAATTACTTTTTCAGGTTCACCTTGTTGGAATGAAAATAAAATTTTATGCTTTTCAAACTGTGTTAGATTTGGTTGCTTTTTCTTGCATCTGAAGAAGTGCACAGCAAATATGAATTTGTGTGACAATTTGCTGTTAATAAATGAACTTACAATACTTTAGTAAAAAATATCTTATTAAAAAACTTACTCAAAATGTATGAGATGTGTTATAAAATTGTTAGTGTCACTGTAACAACCAGGTACAGTGGAGTTGGGTTTAACTATATTTTGCAATTTTTCACAGTGCTCCTCAGATCATTTGTTTTAATCTAGTTTAATATTTTGCTTAAACTGAATTCACTAAAATTGCTTCCAAATGCTTGATCACTTTCTACCATTGGTATAGGTGGTGTGCTGAGAACATTCTACATTTTTGGTTTTAATTAGCAAATACAAGCTTTTAAAAAACACTCTTCTTCTTTTAAACTAGGCTTTTCTGAAAAGACTGGAGTCAGTCAAGTCCACACCTGGCCTGCGTCGTTCAGAGCAGCTGGCTGACTATCAGCGCCTCTCTGGATATCCGGGAGCTTCATCATATCTCCTCTTTAGATCCGATGTGAAAAAAGAGAGATGTAGCAGGACGACATCTTCAGGTAGGTTTGATCCAGATCTGCTGACTTATACAGAGGTGATGCTTTATAATTTAAGTATATTTTAAAGTATATTAAGAATTCATGACTGAATACTACTTATATACCTTCCTCACATCAGCTTCACTAACAAGAATGTACAATCTTCTTCATCTTAAGCCCAGGTTTTGAGTTACTCAGTCAGTAAACAGAAAAGTTTGATAGGTAACTTGTGCAGCAGAAAACTGCAGCCGTTCACACAAAAAATCTGTGCTTTTAACTATCATAGCATCACAGTTTCAATGTCGATCATGTTTATTTTTGAGCAGTCTGAGGTGATTTGTGTTTATGTCTAATTAAAGTACACAAAGAGAACCTGCACAACATTTTTCTCAATCTGAGGCAGCAGATTTCTCATGTCCGAGCTGCTGCTTCCAGATGGCAGCAGGGATTTAATTAACACAAAGAGAGGTCATTCAGGCAGTTTAGAACAGCTGTGGGCTCTTGGAAGCATCACTCATCTATTTATAAAACAGTAACTACTTCACTCTTCCCATGCTTATTATTGGATATCTTTTTGATTATAGTATTTATTTTCTTTCTTTGCTTAGTTTAAGAATCAGTCTTCAAATAATACACCAGGACCAGAGCCCAACATGCTAAATGATGTTTACTAGTTGAAAATAATTCTAGAAAAAGTCCCTTATATTTGCTTGTGTCTGTTTATCTGAACAAAACCTAATACCTTAGTTACATTTGATCTTTAAAATTCTGAAAGAAAATGTAAAGTTTYTGCTGTGTTTATAAYTCTAAGAGCGTGTTTATCTCTTGTCAGCACTCACAGGTCCCAGACCAGTCAGTTCCAGAGCAACTTACACCAACACTGACTCCAGCAGCACCCCTATACCCAGGTCCAAAAACCGTCCCAACCCACCTGGTTCTCCCATCACTACATCTAATTCACAATAAAGCATCAGGTTGGCTATATAGATGYGTGTCAGTGTCAAATTGAACAAATCATGAGTGTAAAGGGAACAAACTTTGGAAGATAATTTAATTTCAAATTCTTCAACTGACTCTGCTGCAGTTTGTTTCAGATAATTTTTTGTTTTTGTTTTTTTATGGTAAAAAGCACTGCAGCTTGAGTCCTGACATCAGTTATCAGATCTATACTAAAGATTACTTTAGTTCTTACAMCTTGTATGAAATCTAATCTATATAAGTTATATAATTATTGTCTGTAATATTATTATTTTCCTTGTTGAGAACTTTTTCCACATCCCAGCTGAGCCCTGATGCTGCAGAGGGTGCACGGTTTATGTTCGCTGCAGCATATAAAACAAAAGATTTTTCTGCTGTTGGTGGATATTTAGATGTTTTTTTAATAAAAATAATTAGAGCCGTGGTACAAAACATGCCAGATAAGATTCTGATAAATGGATCTGATCACCAGTGGAGATGTAAGCTTTAAGGACTGTACTCATGTTACTACTTAGAAATTCAAGTGAAAATAGGGGTGCAGTGATTAGCTTTTTGTGTTGTTTTATTGTATACATTATATTAGGCTTGTTTAATTTTGACTGAATCTAAATGAATTGTGCTTTTTATTTTTTTAAATAAAAACTTTTGAAAGAAAAATTATTAGCAAAGCCCATTTAGGTGTTTCACTGTAGACGGCATTTTGCATTGTAGCTCACTCACACAACTTTGCATACCTCTAAGCTTTGGTAACAATATCAAGAAGTTGTTTCTGTAATAGCAAGTAAGAGCAGGCTGTATTGCAAAACAAATAAGAATGAGGAAGAGATAAGGACAACAAAGATGGAATCATAGCCTAATTTTTTATTAATAAATAAAGTTGGAGGTGCGATACAAGGGTCATAGTGGCCGCAACAAATCATACGGGCCTCAGCAACTAACACCGGGAGCATCACGGTCTGTGCCAACACATCTTCACCAGCTGTCACACTGAAAGACAGCCTTTTAGCAAATGGTAATGAGGTATATAAATACAYATATACACATTTCTGATAAGGCACAAACTTAGGTCAGGTCCCCACCTTCCCCCAGGCTGGTGCCTCTGCATCACAAGAATAAGACTTCAACAAAGTGGAGGGTTTSTGTCAGGGGCTGGGGAGAGGGCCGAGTTTAGTATGTGATCTTCTTGATTTCATCGTACAGCACCAACACAAAGGCACCACCCATGCCTCTGATCACATTGGACCAGGCGCCTTTGAAGAAAGCACGTCCTCCTTCATCTTTCAGGATCTTCCTCCAGCAGTCGATTGTGCCCTTGTACATGATGTCGGCTGTGAAAGCAGAAACAAGCGAGGTATTAGTGCCAAAATGGGTCTTTGACAAAACCAACAACCTTTTGTAGATGCTCGCCTCCTTTGCGTCCTGACTGCATCATCATACGACGTCTGACGGTGTCGAAGGGATACGAAACAAGACCTGCAGCAGCGGTAACAGTCTGGGCGATCATCCAGCTGATGATGATGTGCGTGTTCTTAGGATCTGGCAGCATGCCTGTAAAAACAAACCGTCAATAAGTCAACGGTCAAAAACATTAAAAACATTCCATTACAGGGCAAATGGGCAGGTGTGCGCACCTTTGGCTGTGTCGAAGCATCCGAAGTAAGCTGCTCTGTAGATGATGATACCCTGCACTGACACRTTGAAGCCCAGGTAAAGGCCCTTGATGCCGTCGGTCTTGAAGATCTTGGCGATGCAGTTTCCAAGACCGGTGAACTCCCTCTCTGCGGGGCCCTTGCCGATGTCGGCGGCCAACCTCGTTCTGGCAAAGTCCAGCGGGTAGACGAAGCAGAGCGACGTGGCTCCAGCTGCACCACCAGATGCCAGGTTACCGGCGAAGTAGCGCCAGAACTGCGTTCTCTGATCCACGCCACCGAGGAATATCTTCTTGTACTTGTCTTTGAAGGCGAAGTTCAGGGCCTGGGTGGGGAAGTAACGGATGACGTTGGCCAGGTTGCCTCTCCAGAACGAGATGAAGCCCTGTTCCTTTGGGATTCTGACCACACAGTCAATGATCCCTTTGTACTGCATCTCGGCGGTGATCTGTTTGCTGGCATGCTGCACCTGTTTAGAGATGAGAGGGGTGGGGGATAAAAATGAGATGTTTTAGGATAAAATCACATCAGCAAGTTATTTAAATGTTATGGTTTGAAGTCCTGCAGCCAGGTATTTTCCAAACGTTAGCTCAAGTCACCTGAGACTCCTCTCTGTGTATTAGATTACATCATGTAGGTTAAATTTAGTAATCACTGTTTTATTTAAATAATTTGATGTAAAAAAATGTAAATTTAATGACATCGATTACGACCCTTTTTTTAATGGAAGCACGTGTCCGGAGCACTTTCCATCCGTGCGTAAAACTATCCCTAAGCTGACGTCTCACATGTCCTTTGGCATTACGCACGAGACCATATGAACCCAATGTCCAACAGGACATCTCCCCCTTTAGAGCAGACCCCATTTAAACTTTAAATGTTTGATTCGCCGACAAATTACGCGCGCATTACGCACGAGCGGGTGCACCGCGGCCAACATCTGTTTCAGATCATTTACCTGTAGCAACAGCTTGACCCGCTCAATGGGGGCAACAGCTGTTTTGGAGATGGCAGCGGCGATGCCACCCGCCAAAAAGTCCTTCATGAAACTGACTACCGCGTCCGACATGGCTGGGTGTTTCCAGGGACAGCTTCGTTCCAAACTTAACCAAGATCCTCAAGGAAACCCTACGCCCCTCCAAGTGGACGAGGCAGCCCCCAGCTGTTCTTATATATGGAGGCCATTCATCGCGAGAATCTTGAGTGATGGATTTGGAGTTTGTCGAACGGAGAAACGAGGCTGGATAAATTTCCGAGGTTGAAGTTCAAGTCGTGCGCCATTTTTTCTTCTGGAGGGTCGGGAGCCGGCAGCTAAAGCCGGGGGACGTTTAAAGGACACAAAGTGATTCATCTGATAACTGTCAAAACATCAATTTCTATAGCAGTAATCTATCACAGTGGACATCCTTCTTATCAGATGGGTCAGCTGAGAGCTCAGAAGCCATAAAACGAAGATAGTGGATCTGAAGTCAAGTGACATCATATTTGATGCACTCAGAGACAAAAACACAAACTTTTATTATGAGTTCACTATTATAACTCTGATAATAAAACCAGCATCWTTTAATCCATCTCTTACTGTGGCACAAACAAAACTCACATTAAGATAGAGAAATATCTGTGATCTCACATTAACAGTGTTTAGACTGGTTTTTCTGCAGTCTGACCATTATTGAAAAGTTTATGCTTAATGACAGTCCTAATCTGGCAGAGCTGACCAACAGGATGTGGTGAAACTCAATATATAAGAAGAGATATGATCCAAACATTAGCAGGGTTGGCTCAGTTTTTTCCCCACTGTCAGGAGATGCTGAACATTATGTTCTTTCCAGCAGCATTTCTGTGACTTTATTCCAAAATGCACATGCAAGGGATTTAATACAAACACTTTGTTTGTATTATTACAACTTCAAGAGAGTCTATGTGAATAAAAAAGTAAGTTTATTATGTTTATTTTTATATAACTCTGGTGGAATTTTCCAAAACCTGTTTGTTTTGCAGAGAACCAGATACAAAAAAATGAGAATAAAAAAACAAAACTAAACACAAAACATTTGAAGAGAAAGAAACACGACAAAAAGCTAGACCATAATCAAAACTGAATGTGTGTGTTGTAATAAAAAYAAATCAAAAGTTTCTGAAAGACTAAAAGAATACAATTTGAATGAAGTTTTGACTGACTGACAGCCTACTGACCACTTGGTGGTGCTGTTTGTGTAGATACAATGCCAAACTTAGAATCAAAGCGTCCTGCATTAGGATTTGATATCACATCTRATAAATCAAATACTTTTTTAAAGCCCAAAACAAATACTGTTGGCAAAAAGTGCGACACACCAATAAATAAATAAAATAAAATAAMATAAGACAATAGTTTTACAGCAGTAATTAAAAAACAGCTTCAAATATGACACAAAATCAGACATTAAATGAAGCAAAAACATAATGTGTTCTGCTGTCTTAAAACCCAATAATGAGATCTGAAAACATCAAGAGGTGAAGTATGTCTCTTATGAAGGGGCAGCAGGTTCCACAGTTTAGGAGCTTCAACTTCAACTGTGGACCAGCCTGGACCTCAGGACAACTAAAGACCTGATCACCTCCGTGGACCAGCCTGGACCTCAGGACAACTAAAGACCTGATCCCCTCTGTGGACCAGCCTGGACCTCAGGACAACTAAAGACCTGATCCCCTCTGTGGACCAGTCTGGACCTCAGGACAACTAAAGACCTGATCCCCTCTGTGGACCAGTCTGGACCTCAGGACAACTAAAGACCTGATCCCCTCTGTGGACCAGCCTGGACCTCAGGACAACTAAAGACCTGATCCCCTCTGTGGACCAGTCTGGACCTCAGGACAACTAAAGACCTGATCCCCTCTGTGGACCAGCCTGGAC